ATGACTCCCAGACTGTCTGTTTCTACATCCCTCCATCTTTCACAGAGCTGAGTGGCTTCATCGCAACTCTTGATCTCATCATCTCTCAAACAGATGGGATCATCATCATCCATTAGTCACATTCTGAAGGAGCAACAATGTATTAGGAGTGAACATGAAAAGCTTTTAAGCTCGGACTGAAACAAAACATCTTTTTTATTTGATGTGGCATTTTTTACTTGAAGGAATAGTCCAGTAGCACTTTGGGAAATGTGCTTATTTGCTTTCTCTCTGAGAGTTGGATAAGAAGATCAACATCACTCTCACAACTTGAAGCTGGAGTCAGGTGTGATGATAGCTCAGGATAAAGACTAAAGACGGGGAAACTGCTGGTCTGACTCTCTTCAGTACCTTTGAAGTTGTATATAAATCATAAGTGAAGCACATTTTCACCTCATGTATTTTCCCAAAATGGACACCTGGACTGTTTGTGCACTCTGTGCTGATTCACCCCAAACAGCCAATGAACCATCTGTCCAGACATTAGATGTAAACTAGCGAGCAAAGGACTCCGTTCATTCCTAGAAAAGTTGTTCAGTGTTGCATGAAGCCAAGAACATTAAATGCTAAATTGAAAATTAGCTAGGAAGGAGAACTTTTTTGGCCTCATGCACAACTTAGCAACTTTACTAGAAATGAACAGGGCCCCGGGCCCCCCAGGGCCTTCAGCTGTATCCAGTTCTCTTTATACATCCATGAGTGGTGCATGGAGCCAACAAAGTTTGACTTCTGTGTATAAAATCACCCAGATGATCAGCACTGCCTCTGTATCACTGAACCCATAGATCAGTTGCTCAAGGGACTTCCACCAGCTGGGCAGGCTACTTCCGGTTTAGCGCTCCGCTAACTTGAATGGGGATAAAATTATTTAATCAAGTGGCCCTTACAGACTTTCCAAATGGTATTCGACCAAATGGATCAAATCCTGATAATGAAAATAGTAATTTCGTGGGGTTTGTGATGCTAAAAAATGTATCCACTACAGATTTTTCTTACCCAGTGTAAATCAATGGGAATAAATCTTTATGGGCGCAATGACATCACAGTGACAGATTCGGAAGTTGTAATTCCTCTGTTAGGCCACTACAAAAATTGACTTCAATACCTGGCGCACTTTTTGAGGACCTGACCAGTTACGCTTGTTCCTTAAGTATGATACTTAAGGCTTAATTTCTCCTTAGCTGAGGGACTTACACAGTTGCGCAGAATCCCTCAAAAGGTTTCCCTAGTTAAGAAAAATCGTTAACTTATTAACTGCGTTGAAAGAGATTTTACAGTGCTAAAAGTTTCCATGGAGATTGTTTGTTTGCTTGGACTCACTTGTGATGCCTGTTATCATCTCATAAAGTTGGCTTATAGTTAGTGGGAAAATGTCAGAAGAAAAGAAGATCAGAAAACCATGTTGGTCAGAGGAGCAAATGATTATACTTCTTAAGGAATTCAATCATAGAAAGCAAATACCCAAACGAAAGAAAACAGAAAACGATTGTAGGAAGAAGCAACAAAAAAAGAATTCAGTCAAATCTATGGTGTAAAATCAAAAGCGTATTCACTGGGTTCTCCTGGTCGCAGAACACTCTTCTTGGGGTGTGTCTCTTTTTTTCATTTATCACCATAAACGTGGTCATGTTATAGTTAAGATAGAGTCAGAGGTACTTTAAGTTTTTTCTGTTCTACCTTGCTTCAGTTGCTCAGGTCTTTTGTGCAATGGTTTAGGGATTCCATAAGTATAAGACCAAGACTAGGAGAAAACCATTAATACTTTCGTGAACATTTTAGACTTAAGGGTGTTTTGTGCAACTGATTTTATTTTGAGGAAACCTTAACAAGGACTTTAAGGAAAATCTTAACTTGAGGTGTTTTGTGTAACCACTTTTATTATGAGCAAACATTAACTAGGACTTTAAGGAAAATCTTAACTTGAGGTGTTTTGTGTACCTGTGAGTTTGTGATCAGCCAAGACACTGGCTCCAGTTCTTTCTGTTATTTCCCACTAGATTCTTTCCTTTTTCTTTTAATCTCTGTACATGTATGAAGCACGCTCATAAAGCTCTGGTGGTTCTGGTATTCTGAGCTCAAGTTAAAACATTCTCAACTCGGGTGGATTCATCTTCGCCAGAGTTTCCTGTGGCAAATCGCACCCACTCGCCTCTCTGTACGCAATTGTGCCGCCTCTAAAATTCGCCTCGCATTCTGTCTGAACACACCTTCAGGCTCACAAACAGCTGAACTCAGTGTCTTCGTGGAGTCTTGTTGTTTCTGTAAGGTTGCCAGGCAACAAGGTCTACAGCCGTAAGACCATAGAAATATAATGAATGGACATTGAACTGTTTGCAGCAGTCATTTCACTACTTTAAACGAAAAAGGCGATTAATGGTGGCTGTTATGCTGACAACATGTCAGTGGGGCTCTACAGTGTGTCACACTCACTAGTTTGAGACATGAACGAATAGAAGTTGATGTCTTACCAATAAAAATGTAACGCAGTTAAATTCAGCGATCCTCAATTCCTCTCTAGCAGCAAGGCAACACAGATAGAGCATAGAGGACGCCTCCTCATGCTTTGTACTACTCCACTGCTCATTTGACCCTCACTGCAAAACCTCAACTAAGTGAGTTTACAACTTGCCACAGTCTGGTTTCTTTATACAGAAGTTAGCCCGTTACAAGGGTTGCAATGACAACAGTACACATGAAAATGGTTCTGACCATCCTGTTATGTTGATTTGAACGGAAATGTCCTTTCTTTCATTCTGTTGTACAGACGCTACACAGATGTTTAACCTACTGCAACAAGAAATAGCTACAGAAAAGTAACGCCCACTAAAACCATTAAATGTCTCTTTCACATATCAGTTTGTGTAATGATGAAACAAACATGATACTAGTCCATACCCATTGGTAGCTTTGTCACCTTCTACCTATGCCAATCCTCAATGCCTATATGCAGTTTCACATAGATTGACCACATCAGTGAGTAAACGTGGGACAGACAGAATGACTGACTGACAGAATGACACACTGACAGTTTCCGTGATTATGTACAGCATACCATACCATGACTTAGTCATACCAAAAATTAGCAAAAAAAACCCAAACATTGGTCCACAGGGGGAGCCACAGCGATCGGTCACATTTTAGCCATTTTTAAGCATTTTTCTGTTGTTATAGCGCCACCCAGTTGCCAATTAGAGTTAAATGTCTCCAGTCATCTTGAGGCGTCCTGTTCTACATATCTACCAAGTTTAGTAAAAATCGATATGGCGGTTAGGCCTAGATAAGAAATTAGCTCTCTAGCGCCCCCATTTTGTTTGATGGGGTCAATAAAGGAGGGTTCCCCTCAGATTATGTGTGGTCATATGCCTGCAAAGTTACGTGGTGATCGGTGAAACCCTTGAGATGTTATACACCTTTATGTGATGAGCCACGCCCTCCACAATATTCATTGCCTTATAGAAGCTCATTTTTGCCAAGAGGGAACTTTAGATATTGGTCCCTAGATTATGTTCACTGAGTTTCATGCAGATCGGTCAAACTTCCTAGGAAGAGATCGATTTTAAGTGTTTTTCAAAAAATTCAAAATGGCGGAAAATCTATATAACCAGAAGTTATGGGTTCTTGAGGCAAATTTGTTCCTCGTGAGGAGAGGCATCTCTGTGCAAAGTTTCATGTCTCTACGACATACGGGGCATGAGATATGCCCATTCAAAGTTTGCAATTTCAGTCAGTTGCTATAGCGCCCCCCTTTGGCCAATTGATGTAATATTGCGTCATTCGCATCCTCCCATGACCCTCTACCACTGTGCCAAATTTCACATGGATTGACCAAGTCAGTGAGGAGAAAAACGTGGAACAAACACACACACCCACAGACAGAGTTTTCGTCATTATATAGTAAGAAAATATGTTAAAGTGTGACTCTTAGCACCCTGTTCTTACTCCAAGCTCATCTAATATCGCTGCTGTGTCAGGGATTCTGGTGTCAGACACCGACACTAAAAGCCACCTTTCACTGCAGTATGATACATCGCTGGGTGCAACCTTCTACAGTGGTATGATACGCCACCGGTCGGCTATATAGCACCTGTTGGGGCAGAATGATTCGCTGCTGGACGGCATGAAACGCTGCCAGTAATGACCTTTTATAAGGAGCTGGAAAGTCCCCATAGGGAGGGCAGGAGAGGAGGCGGATGAGTCCAACAAACCCGGACTTCCACCCGGGAACTCTGTTTCCAGTATGAATGTACTGGAGTTCCAAACCGTGATGTTTTTTCTAAATCTTATCACGAGGTGTTTTACAGATGTTGTAAGTTTATTTTGAAAAAGACTGAATGCATCTAACCTGCCGAAACTGTACATTTCCTGTGAAAACACTTACCTAGCACTTAATATGTAGACCTGAACATCACTGACCAAGCAGCGGTAATATGTGACAAGTAGGGATGAGAACGGGTTGGCTTAGAGATGCTGGTTGACCGAACTTTCCACCATCCAGCTAGCAGTTTCCCCCTGTTTCCACTCTTTATGCTAAGCTAAGCTAATCGCCTCTCTTGTCAGCTCCAGGCTTAATGCAGAGACATGAGAGTAGGATCAATTTTTTTTTATCAAATTCTTTGAAAGAGAGCATATTTTGTGAAAATGTTAAACTAAGTCTTTATTTAAATGAGATTAAAATATTCATGAATTGTCAGCTTGTCAGTTTTCTTTTTAACACTACATTTAATGTTTTTCTTCTGGTCTAAATTACACATTGGTTTAATCTTTTCCCTTTGGCCAGAAGAAACTGACAAAATTTGTGTTTAAAATTTGGTAGAATTTAATGAACGCCTGAAACAATAATCCTGAAAGTCTTTCAATATAAATTAAAACACTTTTGTTCTATATTTCAGCACCGGGGTCGTGACACTACAGTTTTTTTGATGTGTCTCATCTTGTCTCTCTGTCTGATCTGTTTGCCTCAGGGACGCTGCGCCTAGTCTTTGACAATGAAGTTCAACTTGTTCAGAAATTCGCAGGCCGTGGCGGCCCCCGAGCCCACCGGTGTCACCACTGCCACCATGGCTCCCACCCAGGCTTTCATCTCCACCTCGGTGCCGGAGACCTCTGGCTCCAACAACACAGAGATCAGCAAGAACGACATGTTTGAGGAGATCAAGAGCAAATTCTTGAATGAAATTGATAAAATTCCATGTAAGCACTGCCTGCTCAAATTCAACATGTCCTTTATTTTAAATGTTAAGTCCCAGTAAATACCTCTCTGTTGCTTTTTAAAACCGACAGTGCCTCCATGGGCTCTGATCGCCATTGCTGTGGTGGCCGCGTTGCTCATCCTCACCTGTTGCTTCTGCATAATCAAAAAATGCTGCTGCAAGAAGAAGAAGAACAAGAAAGGGAAGAAGGGCAAAGACGGCTTCAACATGAAGAACATGCAGGGTGGCGAGGTATGACGCCTTGTGCTTCCTACGTGCTGAAAAAGTCAGAGTGACAGGATGTTTTGGGTGATGTTTTGCCTCTTCTACAACAATTTATCATTCAAGTTTTTATTGTTGTTGATGACATTTTGAATTGCTGAGTTTTTCTTTATTGAAATATGTCTGTAGCTAACCGAATTTGATCTTTTACCAGCAGCTTTTGTAGCCCAGGCTGTAGAGGACACAAGGAGAGCTCTCTTCCCATCCATTTATTAGATGTTGTTGTTGTGGTCGTTTAAATGTGTGACGTTTTCCGTTGTGGCCCCGTGGTGAAAAATGACGCACTTTGTTACGGGGTGGCAAAGAATAATGAAGTGGAAAGTTTGTTCAGACAAGTCGCACAGTACAAAAAGGCTACATTTTTATAATTAAACATGATGGATGAAGGCATGAGACCCCGCAGAAATATTGGGAGGATTTGGAAGCAAAGTTCAGTAAATCAGAGGATAAATGTTGGAAAAGCCAGTGATTCATTTGAAGCCTAATCAGCTAACATCACCACAGATTGCCCTGCGCTCCAGTGACAGTTAATTAAAGCAATCAATTACTTGTGTCCACGATGTGAATTTATCGTCCCCAGCCGAAAACAAGCGTGTCATTTCTCATCATAATTGTGGTGGTGGTGGTGGTGGTGTTGACTGCCTCTCTTTTGTAGTGTGTTTGGTGTCTTGTGAGTTGAATCTCTTCCTCTCTCTGCTCTCCTCCTTTTTTCCCCCCGCTTTGTGTCTGTCTTGTGTGTGCCTCGTGTTTCTTGACTGTGGTGGACTCCCGCTCTACGGTAGGTGGATAGCTCACGTTGACGCTCTCTGGCCCCCCGGGGCGGAGGGGGGTTTCATGGAATGAAAGTCGTAGCTTCCTTTGCAACTTTTTTTTTTTCCTTAAGATTTTTTGTCATGACAGCTTGAGAATGTAACAATGGAAAGCTATGATGTGCTCCATAAACCCCAGAGAGGAGAGTCTAACCATCTAACGCATTGTTCCTGGGACAATGTGACTATAACACCAATATGGAAAGTATTGGACTAAGAGATGATATGCAAGACACTTTTAACACTATTAATCTATGCATGTGATAAAGGGCATGGTTGGTTGTTTGGGAGACATGGAAACGGTGATGATAAAACTGCATGAAGAGCCAAACACTCACAAATCTGTCCTTTGAATTGCAACGCTCAAAGAGAAGGTAGGATGTGGAGACACTGGATGGCCTGAAAAAGGAGTTCAAACATTTCAAAGACAAGGTCACCTCGGCAATTTAACTACAATGATAACACTACAGCAATAAGACATTATTCAAATAGCTGGCTGTGCCCTTTAATCCTACACCATTTATTGTAATAAGAGAAGAGAAGCTTGTTTTTTTTTTTTTCTTGGTGCCACAGAAATTTAGAGGTGAAACGAGGCATGAAGGTTAAAAAAAGTTCTGGATTTTATTGTGAAATATCAAAGTCGTGGATGTAGGTTTTGAAAAGGTTATTTGAAAGCCAGCTCCTTGCACTGAGTATTTGCCTTTTATCATTTTTAGTATGCATTGGCATTTGCTGTTGTGAGCTAGTTCCTTAGGGGTTTTTATTTAAACATTTATCTCCTCTGATGACAAACCCCTTTGACAAACAAGCGAACTATGCTAATACCTGATTTCATTGGAAAACTGTTGCATTTATCACCCCTCTTAGTGGAACTAGCATGCAAAGCCTCCACTGACTCTGGCTGTCACTGAACTGCACAAGCATGTCGAAGGAATTGCCCAGTGATCCTAAAAACTCTGAGAGGACAAGGTGTGCAGGAGTATAAACATGTATTTATATGTTACCAGTAGAGATTTCTCACTTTTAAAATGATAAATCCCTGGTTATTATCATCAGGTGCTGTGCAGGTAAGCAGTAACCAAAAACATGTATCTCCCACGTAAAAACTCCTGGAGCTCCAGTGTCTGTGGCATGCTGGCTATCATGGGGAGCCCTGTAGTCTGACCCCTCACCCCTCTGACCTGTAACACCCTGTTCTGTCTCGTTACCTTCACACCACAGATACACCAGGACGACGAGGATGATGACGAGGGAGAGACCGGACTGACAGAGGAGGAGAAAGAGGAAGAGGAGAAAGAACAAGAGAAACTGGGGAAGCTGCAGTACTCTATAGATTATGACTTTGAGAATGCAAAGGTCTGTGGTTGTTTGGCACTTGAAATTACATTACATATATTATCAAGCTTTAAAAGAAATATTTGTATTTTTGAAGCACTAAACAATTTCAGATATGTAATGTCTAATTGATGTCTAACATTTTATGTTTTATACCCTGTCTACATTCAAAAAAATTCAGTATCTAAAGATATAGTTCAACATTTTAGGGAATAAACTGATTAGATTTCTTGCTGAGAAAAAAAATAAAAATATTAATACATTTTCATGTCTGTAGGCTAAATATGAAGGTACAGTTAGCAGCCAGTTAGCATAACTTACCATACATAAAGCAACCAGTCGCCAGAATATACAGTGGCATTGAATGTTTCTTCAAACCACACATATGTCACATTTGTAAGTTTCATATGTAGCAGATATGTTAAAACTTTACATTTTGATTTTCAGGTTTGTGTTGTGACAATGCTGTGGGAAACGTTCGGTTAGGTTTAGGCAAAAAACAACAACAACCTACTTAGTGTTAAGAAAACATGTTTTGGCTTAAAATACACTGGTTGCCACAAACATGACTGGATGTGTCACAAACTGTCGTCAAAAAATAACTGCTTTCATCGCTGTAAACATGGCTAGAAATGTCACAAACTCTTGTCAAAAACAAACATGGCTAAAAATGTCCCACACTATCGTTTGAAAACACCTGCCTTTGTTGCCATAAACATGACTTTAAAGTGTCCCCACCTCTGCTTAAAAATACCTGCTTTTATTGCTACAGAAATGGCTAGAAATGTCCCAAACTCTCATGACAAAGCACCTGCTTTCCTCACTACAAACATGGCTGGAAATGTATTGGCCTCCCTTTAAAAACACCAGCTTTTGTAGCTACACTAAAGGCTGGAAATGTCCCAACCTCTTGTTAAAAGTACTAGCTTTTGTCCCCACAAACATGGCTGGAAATGTCCTGACATCTCGTTTAAAATACCCGCTTTTGTAACTTCACACACGGCTGAAAATGTACCAAACTCTCATTTGAAATACCTGCTGTTGTCACTGCAGAGACGGCTAGGAATGTCCCAAACTCTCATTAAAAATACCCGCTTTTGTTGCTATAAACATGGCTGAAAATGTCCTGACCTTCTGTTAAAAATACCAGTTTCTGAGCTACAAACATAGCTCAAAATGTCCTGACCTCTTGTCTAAAAGTACCCACTTTTGTCATTACAAACACAGCTGGAAATGTCCCAACCTCTCATTAAAAATACCTGAAAATCTAGATAAGTGATGTATAGTTTTACAATAATGCTGGCTCAGGGAAAAGGGAACAGATTTGTCAAAGATTCAGTAATCTTATCGTCATTACAGTAATGCTCTCAGCAGCATATGGACACAGTGGTAGTATATGACATGAATTAATGAGGCTTTGAGTGGCAAATCAAAGACCTTCTATCAGACCAGTTTCTGAGCTACAATCATAGTTACCTCCGCCAAGGAGGTTATGTTTTCGCCGGCGTTGGTCTATTTGTCTGTTTATTTGTTTGTTTGTTTGTTTGTCTGTCTGCAAAATAACTCAAAAAGTTATGAACGGATTTTGATGAAAGTCGATAAAATAATAAATAAAGTCTATGGTCTGACAGCCTCAGCAGCAAATAAGACAGTAAAAATAACGCTGTCTGGTGGCCGGAAAGCACGTCTTGTTCTGCTTGCTAAATGTTGTAATTCTAAAGTTGAAATTAATGTTCTGTGTTGGAAAAAAAGAAAGTGAAAAATACAAAAAAAACCCATTATATTCTGTGTTGGTACAAAATAAAAACGAAATAAATACACCACAGTATCTCCATGGTGAAGGCATATATAACCTAATAATGATAGTGATGCACATAACCTAATTGTGATGCAGGCTGCAAAATCTGATGCAGAGGGGGAGGGAATATCACTTACTTGTCGGAGGTCTGCACTTTCTGAGTGCTTTTCTAGTTCGAAATGTCCTGACCTCTTGTCTAAAAGTACCCACTTTTGTCATTACAAACACAGCTGGAAATGTCCCAACCTCCCATTAAAAATACCCGCTTTTGTTTCCACAAACATGTCTGAAAATGTCCCAACCTTTTGTTGAAATACTCGGTTTCGTCAATACAGACACGGCTGGAAATGTCCCAAACTCTCGTTTCAAATTCTTGCTTTCCTAACTACTAACACAACTGGAAATGTCCTGACATCTCATTAAAAAACACCTGCTTTAGTCACAACAAACACAGCTGGAAATATTGCCACCTCTCATTAAAAATACCTGCTCTTATAGCGACAAGCACAGCTGGAAATGTCCTGATCTCTTGTTAAAGACACCTGCTTTAGTCGCTACAAACACAGCTGGAAATGTCCCAACCTCTCATTAAAAATACCTGAAAATCTAGATATGTGATGTATAGTTTTACAATAATGCTGGCTCAGGGAAAAGGGAACAGATTTGTCAAAGATTCAGTAACCTTAACGTCATTACTGTAATGCTCTCAGCAGCATATGGACACAGTGGTAGTATATGACATGAATTAATGAGGCTTTGAGTGGCGAATCAAAGACGAAGTGTCTTAAATTAAGTCAACATAAAACAGAGCAGAGATTGTTTTATCTGTCTCTAAGCTTTAACTAGCTTGAACATACATACATCTTATAGAACAGGAAAATCAAAACGCGACAGTCATGTCACTTTGAAGAAAACCCTCTGACATTTGAAACATCTGCAGTGGAGCACGAAATTTAGGGAGATTGATTGTAAGGCTTAAGTTGTCAGATAATGTTACATAACCAATCTCTGCAGCAGTGACCCTGACACAAATGACATTTTCTCTTTGCATGATAAAATTCTGTTTCATATCCCCGACTCTCTGCCCACGGCCTCCTCTGCACACAGCTCACAGTTGGCATCCTTCAAGCTGCGGACCTCATATCCATGGACTCAGGTGGAACCTCCGATCCTTATGTTAAAGTCCTGCTCCTGCCTGACAAGAAGAAGAAGTATGACACCAAAGTCCACAAGAAAACACTGAACCCTGTCTTCAATGAGACATTTGTATTTAAGGTAAGTCTTATCAATGTGTGCGTCTATTGTTGAAGAATTTGGTGCAGAACAGGTGAGCATCCTGCATTAGTCTGCACTGCTTTGATTTGTATCAATGCAGCTGTAAACAGAAAGAGAGACATACATCAAACTTTTATAGAAGATAGTGAGGATGTTTGTGTTTTATATAAAATGAGCTGCAGAAATTATCCTCCTACAACCAGCTGCCAGCGTGTCCCTTATAGTGTGTGTGTCTTAGATGTGTGTTCTCAGTGGTCTGTGCAGCTGACAGTACATGCTGCTCTTTCCTGTCCTGGCTAATAAACCCCGCAGAGACTTTACAAGTGGCTCTGGGTCTCGCTGGAAGCTCAGCCTGCCTGCAAATTTGCAGCAGCAAAAAAACCCATCTTATTTCCTCTCCCAAACAGAGCTGAAGAGAGGTTCATTGCCACATTTAGTGTTTCACTGTGATGGTTAATTTGAGTTTGACTTCTTTTTGAACATGAGAGGTTTTTTATTAGTCTAGACGGTGTCTGCAAGGGATGGAAGCATAAAGACTTATCTACATCTTCATTTAAGATTGTTTCAGTCAGTTAGAGCATGTTAGCTTTTCTAATATTTAGCTTTTCTTTTTCTTTAAATAAAATCAAGTAATTTAAGTAAATGAATATTATTATTTAAATGCTTTTTTAACCCTAAATGAAGGGTATCTTTTAAGATAATTTGTATTTTCAGTTTGTTTCATTTTGTCAGCTTTTAAGTATTCACCCATTCACTGATTTTCCATCATAGCTAAAAAAACCCACTATGAACATTCCTTAAAATGTCAGACTTTGACTAAAAGTTCCCGCTTGGTTGAGCAGGAAACATAGAACCTTTTTTGTGTAAGCGGGGAACACAGAACCCAGGAAACATAGATACGCTCCCGTTTTCACATCCCTCTCCTTAAGAGAGCAATGTCTGAGCGCTTCCCTGAAATTTGAGATTCAAACCATAGATGGTATATGAAGATCTTTAGATACAGTCAGTAGCCCCTTTTAGATAGGAATTGTGCAAATTTGCAGGAAAGCCCAATCAGTCTTTTTTCAGCATTGGCAGTATAAAAACAAAATCGGGGAGTTCGGCAAAATGCCGCCTACCTACTTTTGTTCATACAGAATGCACCTTTTTCGGGGCAATGGGGGGCGTGAGCAAGTAACAAAACATGTAGCTCAGCGTGTGACGTAACCAGTGACGTGGGAGGGAAGCCGCGGCTGGTCAGTCCTTCAGCGATTCTCTCGTAAGTCGGCCCGTTCTTCACCGTCCCCGTCATCTGACAGTTAATGGCCTCTTCGTTTGCGAGGACAAGGAGGGCGTGCAATTCCTTGTCTCCCCAGTTGCTCATCTTTACAGTGTCTGTCAGGTTTGTGTTTCTATCTTGCTACTAGCTGCTCGCTAATTCCTGCTATCAGCTGTTTCCTGTTTATCCATCGCCAGCGAGTCGTACGTGCGGCGTCATCAACAGCTCCTCCCACAAGTCTTCAACAGCCCCTCCCATTGCAGAAGGCCGCCTCGGTCTTTTTAAACCAAAAGGGTTCCGCCAATATGTCTACCCTACGAGGCGGAAAATTGGTCACCTCGGATCAACTCGCCAATCCGGCTCTGTGTGTCTAAACGTTCGCAGCTTGCCGGCAAAACAACCCAACATTCACGGAAAATCTACCAGTGTAAAAGGGGCTAATGATTAAACGTACACCCGGAAGATAGATTAGAGTTAGATTAGCTATGTCCCCAGAGTTGGTGAAGATTCTCAGTAATCCAGGTCGTGGTAATTGTAAATGCTATATCATAGGTAACTGAAGACACCACTTATCACCCACTTACGGTGCAGTCCTGAGATCCCTCCTCTGACAGCTAATCACCCATTCACACCTGGACCCATCTAACCCTAAAGACACACATGATGGTCAATGTGTCACATGTGACCTTATCGACTCTGTAAGGGTTCACACCCACACAGAGTTTAAAGCCTGCGACTCCACACCAGTTATTTAGGTTTTATTTAAGAAGCTTCTTGGATGAGAGGTGAAACGTCTTCAAGAAACTAAAGAAAGTCCAGTTGCCTACGAAATAGATTACGTCACTAGTGCAATAGACAGTTTCTGCCTTGGGGTGCGGCCACACATAAATGAATGCCTGCCAATGTGATGATGTGGGCAATGCTGGTTGTGACGCAAACGAAAAGCTGGTTTGCTAGCTATGATGTAAACTGCCACTGCCAGTTAGCTTACAAGCTAACACACAAACAACATAAAAGATATTTACTTCTAGGTCTTTTTCAGAGAGATTTTTTAAAACTTTTTTATGTGGGAACATCATGTTGACTAAAATATAAATCATAGCAGATTTTTTACATATTTTTTAACATGTCTGGAGGGAGACTTGAAGCTTCTCCAGTCAACCTGTTGTTGCACAAATCTGCCAGAAGAAATTCATGAGAATTTTTCAAAATTCCTCTTGACCATACTAAATAAATATTTCACGTTAACATTCTGAAACTAATTTCCTCAACTGTGCCCTTTTCATTTACTTATTATTTGAGGATTTAATTTGCTTTTATTGTCATAAAATCACTAATGGAGAAACATATGAGATATCAACATATAAAACCACATAACCTTGTCTCTGTTCATCAGATCCCCTACGAGGAGCTCGGTGGGAAGACTCTGGTGATGTCTGTTTATGACTACGACCGATTTTCCAAACATGACGTCATTGGAGAAGTGAAGATTCCCATGAACACTATCGACCTTGGACGGCCGATCGAGGAGTGGCGGGATCTGGAGAGCGCCGATCAAGAGGAGGTGCTGTTAAGAATTACACTTCTAGAAATCATACTTTTAAAGAAGACAGTCATTAAATTTTTTTTTTTCTAAAAGTGCTCAAACATTCCGTTTATCATCAGAATCACAGTTTTCTCACAGTAATAATCATTTTTCAGGGACTACGTATGATGTAATGAGATTGCATGAGACATTTGACCTTTTTTTTTTTTTCAAATACCCATCTCATTCACCTCAGTGGTTGCTGTAAGCTTTGAGGTTCAGAATCTTTCACTTCCAGCTCAAAAGTAAAAGTGCAGGTCATACAGCAGACAGTAGCTGAGAGCATTTTGCTGCAGCCCATCATCATGTTCATCTAAAACAAGCAGTTTTGCTGTTGGCTGATGAGCATACGTGTCATTTCTGTTTTCTCTCTGTGCTGACTGCTCAGCCTGAGAAACTCGGAGACATCTGCATCTCCCTCCGTTACGTCCCCACTGCTGGGAAACTCACCGTCTGCATCCTGGAGGCCAAGAACCTGAAGAAGATGGATGCCTGTGGATTATCTGGTAATCTAGATTACTACACTTTTATTGGGAGTGGTGCTACAGGTGACAGTTAAGGTTTCAATTTGTGTTTGACTAGGACTGTGGTTTTGAAGGTGTTGCAAAACAAAAACATTTTAAAAGCTCACTTCACGTATGAAATAGTTCTAATGTACAAAAAGGGTTAGGTTCAGAAAGTATTATATGATAAAGACTTTTGGTCCACAGTCATTATAGTTATTGACTTTTAATTTGTTTTTATTTTTTATTTCTTTATTAATTTTTGCTTTCAATTCAATTTAGTTTAGTTAGTTTCCAGAGTGGATCTGGTCAATTCATTTTATTGTTTGAAAATGTTTAGTTTTAGTTTAGTTTTTATTAGTTTAAGTATTAGTTTCCTTTTTTTTTATGGGAGGTATTTGTCAGTCAAGATTTAAGAAGTTAAGCACAGGTATTACAACACAAACAACATTTTTCACCCCTTTAGAGGCTGTACACATGCCAAGTTTATTGCTCCTTCAAATTCATTGTTGTCAATGAGAAGCTGTGATGCACTTGCACTCCAGAGTGCCTATTTTTCATGGCACAACGGCTGCGCCCTGAGATAAATTGAGTTCAACTTTTGGAACACAGCAGCGCACACCACGTCATGTGACAAGGACCAACTAATCACAGCCAGCAGATATCTTTCCATTCATCTGTAAATATCAGTCTGTGGTAAATATGGAAAAGAAGTTGATCATTTAGCACAGGGCTGCCCGAGCTTTACATCGGTCCCACAGACAATCAGCCGACACACTGTGCACTCAGGATTTCAGATAAATAGGCTATCATAGCAACCTGCCGCTGCGCTTTTGAAAGCTGGCACAAAAAAGGCACAAGAGAAGCACCTAGCGCCTGACCTCGCTTTTTACAGGCAGTTAAAGACGCAGTATGTGTAGGGCCCCTTATACATGGTATGAGACGCATTAGGCAGCGGCATTTTTGACATTCCAGGTATCAGCTGTAGTATAAGGAGCAAGAAAGTCCACATAGGGCAAGTGGGAGGGGAGGTGTAGGGGTCAAACAAGCTCTGGACTTTCACCCAGGAGACCACTGTTTGTGTCCCGTGTGAAACCAAAAGTCAGCTGAGTTCTTTAAATAACAACATAGTATGCCAGTATGTGAAGCATACTGAGCTAGTGATGTCCGTCACATGATGTTACAATTGTAACAAGTGGACTTTTTTAAGCCAAACCACGATATCTTTTCTAAACCTACCCATCATCCTTTGTTGCCTAAATCTGAGAAAGTAAAACTAAAAGTGAAGTTTTTTCTAACTTTGTTGCATTTACTGATTATAAACTGTACATTTTCTGTAATAATGAAAGTTTATTTTGAAAAGAAACTATGCATGTAATTAGTGTAAATTGACACATCGTCCCTGGACATCCAAAACTGACGCAGGAGTATTTTTTTTTTTTTTTTTTTTTGGGCATATAGGCCAAGCTTCGGTATTTGATGAGTTGGGGATGAAAATGTGTTGCCATATTTCTTGTATATCTTTATTTTAGTATTAGTTTTAATTTCTTTTAAAGTCTAGTTTTTAGTTATATTTCAGTTTACTAAAATGTTTTTTCTTAGCTAGTTTCAGTTTTAAGTTTATTTTGGTCCCTAGAATCTAAAACAAATCATTGACATCAAAGGAATAATGGTTTATAATGACTGTGCTTTGTCATGCACGTACACTTGAGAAAAGCAATAGTTGTAATGCAGCAGGGTCAAATACATACATCACAACTGAGGATAAATCAATACAGAAAGGAACTCAATACAATGGAAACACATATCAGACATGATGAAAGGGACGTAAATATTGCAGAAACATCAGGAGCAACTGCAGTACAATAACTTACCTTCATGGTCTCTGTTGCTGATCATATTGATGCTGTTTGCAGATCCTTATGTAAAGATCCAGCTGCTGCAGGGTGGTAAGCGTCTGAAGAAAAAGAAGACTACAGTGAAGAAGAACACTCTAAACCCTTACTATAATGAATCCTTCAGCTTTGAAATCCCTCTGGAGCAGATGCAGGTACGGTGACAGTCAAACACAAATATTTGTTTCTTTCTCAGTAGGGTAATTATGGCTGTGAGAAAATAAAGTGTTTCTCCACATATTTTGATGACTTAATAACTATGAGAAATTAAATATCCTCTCCTGTTGCCTTCTTAGAAAATCTTGGTGGCGGTCACAGTGTTCGATTACGACAAGATTGGTAAAAATGACGCTATCGGAAAGATCTTCGTGGGCAGTAAGGCAACCGGCCTCGGTCTGAAGCATTGGTCCGACATGCTGGCTAATCCGCGCCGCCCCATTGCCCAGTGGCATCCATTGCAGCCAGAGGAGGATATTGATGGTCAGCTGGCGTCCTTGAATGCAAAGAAGTAACATGCTCCACCAACCAGCTAATGCACTAACTCAGAAATCCAACCCCCGCCCCCTACTTTGCATGAAACCCATGACTTAACAACACGTGACAACTCGTCATGAAACCTGCTCAGCAAAAAAGAGACATCTTAGAATATCCGCTCATTCATGGTTAAGTCGAGAAAAAACTGTTTTTAAGCATCACATTTCACACATTAGTGTATGCTGAGAGGAGTGGCGTTGAGTTACCGGGTGACTGGTTCGTGAATGATCGACTGTTGGTCTTTCTTTCATTTGAAGAAACTTAGAAACTGATTCTTAGGGTGCTGACACTGAACGAAAGACAATGCTGGAAAATAAGGCTTTAGTTTAGTTTATAGAGCATGCTTTACTTAGCTCCCCACTGCTCCGCATACACCACGCCCAGTATTGTATCTTGCTAATAAGTGTGCTATAACTTGCAGTAGAAAGTACTGTAGTATTGGGCTACTTCCTGCATAGTCTGTTTAAGTCTATTAATGCAAAAATATTTAATTGAGAATGAATGAGTTCACTGAATGCAGCGATCCATGTTGCAATATATTTTCAAGAGTAATCTGCATAAATGATTGTCTTCATTTTACCGGCTCACATTTGAGAAGGAGATACAGTACAGTGGTAAATAATACAGAACAGTCGTCTGATCTAAGCTGCTTGTTTTGTGTTGCCACGAAGGCACGTCTATGCATTTAGGTTCAACACACGTCTCTGTGTCTCCAGACGGATCTAATGTAGGACAGGAATACATGGGTGCCTTTCCTGATACGACACTTTGAGAATTACAGTAAGCTTCATTGTTTTATTTTGAAGGGAAAATCATTCAAAAGTAGTCAGGGACACTGTGAATGTGCCATCTTGAATCTGTCTTGAGTTGTGTTGACCATTTGGATGTAAAACCTTACTTATCTGTGGACAAGGTAAGGACACGGGAAGGCTCATCAGTAATGTTCATATCAATTATGACAGTCCTTTTCTTTAAATCCTGCTCTTGCTTCCCTAAAAACAGTGCCATCTAACTCATTTTTTGTTTTCCATTAAAGGGATCACATGTCTTTCTTTGACGAATGTTGTAGTTTACCAAACATACCACACACCCCTAATAATTTCTGGTGAAACAACACAAGGAAACCAATCAAAGACCAGATGTCTTTTTTATAGAGAGTTTGAATTTGAAGATGTAGCTGCACTTTTTAAGAGAGTGTGAAGTGCAAAAAAGCAGGTTTGTAAAATCCCAACAGGGCAAGAGCTACATGAAAACATTATAATACAATAAACATATCTTGGACCATTCTGCTTGAACCAAATAGAGCTGCAGAATCCAGCATGTATCATGCCTCGCAGTATTTCATGTTGTTTGGATAGCTCACTCGTCGGCCACAAGCTTTGTAAACCTGGAGCCAAAGTGCTGCAACATGGCGGTGTGAAAACATCATCACAGACATATTGTGTCCGACTGATGAGCAGGGACATGGAGGCAAAGGAAGGCTGCAATGATTTAATTCTTATAAGCATTTAGTTGTAAAGTTTCAGTACTCCTGAATACTTGATTAATACGTCTGAATTTATAACTGTGAGTTATTTTACTTGAAGAACCATCTATCTTCATTTATGTGGTTTGAATTTCCCACTTTGACATTTTTAAGTTCAAGTTTAAGTTTTCAATATTGTCTTCACAAAATAAACTCACATTAAACTATCTTCAAGTTGCTCAAATTCAGCTGGATCTCAAACACCAAATTCAGGATGACAAATTCAGTCTTGAAAAATGGAGCTACCAAAGTCAATGAATCATATATTTTAAGCAGACCCCTACGGAGTCTAGATACTGGTGGTGGTGATGAGATGGATGTGATCAGGAGAGGTCTTTAAAGCTTTAAAGCCCGACCTGGGCACTAGATACAATGAGTGGAGGTAAATGGGGTGGAGTAGGGTGCAACGACACCACCTGAAATGACAGCTGACAGCAGCAAAGAGGAGATCAGATTTAAAAATTGAAAGCAGCAGCGTAATAATCTGATACAGATCGTGTTTAACTGGAAGAGCGGTGCCCATAATCAGCTGATTGGAAGAAACAGGGGGAATGGGATAGAGAAGGAGAATTGTGGATGAATGACGCATAAAGAAAGTCTTCCTGTTTGAACTTATAGAGCTTCCTTTATACCTGGGGTGGTGCTTTTGCCATTTCCACAGGGTACATGTGTGGAAAGATTATAGAGTGGCTCATTTTGAGAAATTATGATTTGATAAAAAGAAAAATAGATGAATTCCTATACTCATCTTAGCATCTTGAAATAAAGACACAAATACGGTCACAATTTGGTGTAATGCTGATCTTAGTTTCATTTATTTGTTTTATTTTGCTTTTAGCCAGGGCTTGACTTGACTTCAGTGTAACTATTACAACAATAACCAGTAGTTTGAAAACTCGTTAGCATCAGAAAATGATTGAAACGTCCAGCAAGAGGTTGTAATTTGACCAAACCTACTGAAAGAAGGAGCCCAGAATTGCCATGTCTTGCGTGAAAAATAATAGTGAAAAATGTATCAAAAGAACACTTTTGGAACATGGAGGTTGGTGTCGATGAAGGGGAACTCAAGCTGTTGGGGTACAACAGGCTAAAAAAGGTTAGGAACCTCTGACACATTTAGTATTTTATATAAAACAGTAAAGAGAAGTTCAGATAAAAGGACACTTTGCACACACGTTCAATCAGAATGTATGAAAATTAAAGAAAACAAATGACCTTCTGGGAAAGTGGGGAAATTTATAACCATGTAAATTCAGAATGAATGGTTTCTGAAGTAAAACACTTACATTCTATCATTTAATTGTTATTAGTGTTCAGGAGTGGTTAAACTTCATAACTGGGCATTTAACTTAAGTATAAAATTAAATCAGTACAGCCTTTCTTTGCCTCTGTAGGCGGCCATTTTGTCACCAGAAGTAAAAGTAATTCTGCAGGAGGCTGAACAGCAGCACACTGATTGGTCCACGCACAGTCCTACTTCCTCCTACTGTCGACATTATGCATCGCGCAGATTTGTTAATAGGCTTCAGCATGTATCCACGACGAGATGATGTAAATAGTAGCATGTTTTAAAGAGGAACCATAATTATATTGTGTATGTGTGTTTGTGTTCTGTGTCATTTTTTGATAATAAAACGGAGTAAAAAAGAGTATGCACTGACTGCAAAGTGTATGTATTTTTGCTGAATGGGACTGAATGTATGTCTGAATAATCCATGTTAGGATTCACGGGCTCCTCTGACGCCTCAGGATTAAAGCAGGGTTGCTGTATAAAAAAAAGAAATCCACTCAGTTTGCCATAATACTGCATGATCGTCTGGTTTTCTGTCATCGTTTGTTTGTGTCCTCTGTGCTTTAATCCAGTGTTACGATGTGCTCGGGCTACAAGTCATGTAATTACTGTTCATTTCTGCTTGCACCTGTTTTACAGTGTGTGTCGGTCGCTGACCAGTTAACTGTATATATTTCAAAAAAAGGAGAATATTTGCCGGCTCCTTGATTTTCTATCTCAGTGTACCGTAAGTGTTTCCTTCATTTACTCCTGCCAGATGGGTGTCAAGTCTCAGTTTATTAAATGTCGATGAAGTGGACGACTTAATCGACTTGTAGCCCCTTTTTCCTTCCTCTTTTTGCTCCATTGAACTGTACCTTCTCATCTTACTGCTATTCACATGAGCCTGCTCTGATATGTCTGATTATACTTTCCAACATTAGGAATTAGTCAGTAATTAGCATATAAACTAAAATGTTTTATTTCATTATAGAATATTTTTTATTAAGATTCCTTTGCTGGATTAGTACTGTGAAGTATTACACTGCACATTATTGATGCAGTCCTCCTAAGGAGCTCCACTCATGTAATTGAGCAATCAATAATCTTGTCATTCCAAATGTCACTTCACAAACGAACACACGCAGTTTGACTAATGGATTGCAATAGGATGAGCCGGTGTTGTGTCACTTGTGCATGCTCTGAGATGTCAGTGCTGTGTCTGCCATGACGTTTCTAATGTGGGGATTTGTTAACGTTGTGTGCTTTGTTTGAGTCTCAGTCATTTACTGTTGGAAAAAAACCTTTATTTACAGCATGCGGTGGATGAAGATGGATGTAATCTTCATGACTGTTCATGTTTTCAGAGTGTAATGTAGCTGTCTCTCTGTGTTCGAGGGGCTGAGAGTTATAGAGACAACACACATTTATAATTTTTGGATATTCTATTCTGAAGATGCCACAATTACCCCTTTACTATCAACATGGACGGGGTTCTGTTCTGGTTCATGCACCTAATTTTGAACCATTCAAGAGCAGTTTGACCAAACATAAATTTGTTCTTTGGTCTCTGGCTGAAACCATAAAGTAGCAGGTTTTTCTTTTTGCCTAAAGTGCAAATTGTGACGATATCAGTGCCATATTGTAGACATCGGAAAGAGAGAATGAAGAAGGCAACAAGAAGTGTGAAGTGAGAAATCATCAAAAAATAAGGAGCGTGCAGTGATCTCATTAATAGTTTTTTATTTTTGGATTAAAACAAATATCTGTAGTTGCAGAACAAAAGTTCGTAGGTAGGCTTATCAGTGTGATCCGCCATTTTGTTTCCACTGTTCACTACCGTTGATGATACATCCCTGATTACAATGGCTCTGATCAAAACTGGTGGAAACGTGTTCTGGTTCTCTAAATAGCACAGACGATCCCGAGCTAATTTGGTGGAAAAGGTGTAAATGTGGTGTCAAATTTAAATCCAGATCTTACTGTGAAGGAGCGCCACATCATATCATTTTCTACAGTGTGTGTCAGGTCATCCTCTCCTGGGGTCATTTAATATTCTCACTCTCATCTACGTGTATTTGAGCTGCCATCAGTTTCTGCCTCCTGTTTCTGTGTATTTGCAATAGGACCAATAGAGCCTGTATTCGTTTGTTGGTGTTCTGTTAATGGACTACACGAGTCTGTCACTTTTCTGCAATGCAGGCAACAAAATCCCCGTCTTCCTGGGTCTCACGAGCTATAAACAGTGCAGAACAACATTTGCAATGCAATACTGCCAACCTGCTGCTTCAGTAACGGTTCCTCTTTTAGTCCCCTCATGTGAACATAGCCATGATAGAGAACACCCAAAGACCTGATCACAATCCCATCTCGCTCCATCGGGCACTCACTTTCCGAGCAACAGAGACAAGGGAAATGTTTGAACGTCTTTCTTGACTCTTGTTTTTGTCTTGTTGTAGAGGTGTGTCAATAGTTGTGCCTTTTTGTGAACTGCATGATTTATTTCCGTACAAAATCCATGTTTTCCAGCCAAAAAAAGAGGGAACAATAAGACCACAGAACTTGTACTCATATATCACTCTATGTAGAACTGAGCTACTCAAGGGAACCAAAATATGGGATGTGGTCAGGACATATCTGTGTGTTGTCAAAATGTAATCATAGGAAATAAAGGCATTTTAAGTAGCCTCGTCCTGTGTGGTGTGTAAATGGACTCAGAGGGTGCTTTTCCACTTTCGGTCAGTGGGTGGCATCGTGTGCAGCATGAGAAAAATACTCAGGAGTGTTGAGCTGCACATGTAAAGCTGTTTTTCTACTGCAATGTAAATGTGATGACAAACCAAACAAGATGAAACACAACTGCAGATGTGGTACTGTTCAGCTCACTTTAGGAGTAGATGTTACAATCCCTGATGCACATATTTGAGACTATGAGCAGGAATAATAGTGATGTCTGGGGGTTTCTGAATGAGGGCCAAAGGGAAAAGGGTTAAGGTTAGAAGGATAGAAAACTAGGAAAGAGCATAAGGAAATAGAAAAGTAAGGAGCCAAGGAGAGACGTCTGTGCAGACTGAACTCTACCCCGCCTGATCGAGCCGTGCACCCCACCTCCCCTTACTCCCTTATTTTGATGAGGGAGGAGACACCAAACTACCAGGAGAAAAAAGTCACCTAACTAATCAAGGTGGAGTTTAATTGGTCAATTGTTGTTGCACATACTTGCAATTGTGTGTGAAAGTTGGAGCCATGCTAGGAGAGGAGGTGGGGGTTAAGGGAGGGTAAAAATTTTATGGGGGTCATCAGGTGGGTCCCTCCTTCACTGGTGTTTCGATGAAAGGCCCACAACACCTTCAGAGGGCTCATCGGCAACTACTGGCGTCCAAGGTACGCCCACCTCTGTTTTTACCCCCTTGAACCCTGCTATTGGTGGTGGTGTCTTTCCCCTTAATCCACAGCCACCGGCTTGCTTGTTCAGCTGCACCAGAGAGGGCTTTAATGGCCTGTGTTGGTTTGAGTTTAGGCGGATAATAAGCATGTAATTTTTTTGTGTCTCTAAAAATATGCAAACACACTAATTTGAGGGCTCTTCTTCAAATTAGTCATAATATATAATGATCAAAATGAAGTATGAACAGAGCTGAAAATGATATCTCAGTCTGGCAGGGATCCTGTGGATATGAGACTGTAAATGAGACTCATTAAATCTTCTGAATATGAAACAGAAGATGAATTATAGTCAGCGTGGTGCTTCCAAAGCAGACAAAACAAAAACATGAACACAACGGGTATTTGTCTTCATTGGTGATGTTTGTAAAATCAAAGTGAAATTCATTCCCTTTATTTCATTGGGATGTTTTTAACAGCAGCTTCAAAGTTCCTGCAGAAACAGTCTCACCTTCACTGAGTCGCTGCTCTGGAGCTTTTGGTCATGTCACATGATCTTCATCAGCAGGTGGACTTTATTTTGAAATTCCCACGGCACGTCTGTGTCACCATTTCTGTCCAGGTGCATCTCCTTCCTAAACATTCAAACAGTGATAGGGGCCTAGCACCAGGCAGACGATGATAAGCAGCCAAGGTAAAGATAATGGGGATAATTACTGATATTGTCTCCAATCAGTCACAGGCACTTGAATTGAATCGAATGGAAATCATATTGTGGTGGACTTTTTGATACCAGCAAATATTGTATTGTTCGATATATGATTGTACTGTTGTGAAATTTGTGATTCACACCCCGGCTACCGAGCAGAACGTGTCTCCTGCTAGGTAACCATTTATTTGCTTGTGTACCTGCTTATAAAACATATTAATTACACCTGCACTAGTCCATACCCATTGGTAGCTTTGTCACCTTCTACCTATGCCAATCACATAGATTGACCACGTCAGTGAGTAGAAACACGTGGGACAGACAGAATGACACACTGACAGTTTACGTGATTATGTACAGCATACCATACCATGACTTAGTCATACCAACAATTAGAAAAAACCCCCCAAAACATTGGTCCACAGGGGGAGCCACCGCGATCGGTCACATTTTAGCCATTTTTAAGCATTTTTCTGTTGTTATAGCGCCACCCAGTTGCCAATTAGAATCAGATTTCTCCAGTCACCTTGAGGCGTCCTGTTCTACATATCGACCAAGTTTAGTAAAAATCGATATGGCGGTTAGGCCTAGATAAGAAATTAGCTCTCTAGCGCCCCCATTTTGTTTGATGGGGTCAATAATGGAGGGGTCCCCTCAGATTATGTGTGGTCATATGCCTACAAAGTAGCGTGGTGATCGGTGAAACCCTTGAGATGTTATACACCTTGATGTGATGAGCCACGCCCTCCACAATATTCATTGCCTTATAGAAGCTCAGTTTTAGTAAGTTTTCCAACTTTTGCCAAGAGGGAACTTTAGATATTGGTCCCTAGATTATGTTCACTGAGTTTCATGCAGATCGGTCAAACTTCCTGGGAAGAGATCGATTTGAAGTGTTTTTCAAAAAAATTCAAAATGGCAGAAAATCTATACAACCGGAAGTTATGGGTTCTTGGGGCAAATTTGTTCCTCATGAGGAGAGGCATCTCTGTGCAAAGTTTCATGTATCTACAACATACGGGGCATGAGAAATGCCCATTCAAAGTATGCAATTTAAATAAGTTGCTATAGCGCCCCCCATTGGCCAATTGATGTAATATTGCTTCATTCGCATCCTACCATGACCCTCTACCACTGTGCCAAATTTCACATGGATTGACCAAGTCAGTGAGGAGAAAAACGTGGAACAGAGACACAGACAGAGTTTTCATCATTATATAGTAAGATACTTCCTGCTTGGTGCATGTCTACAAACTGTATAGTAGTGCTGCCATTGTGAGATGAACAGAAAAATGATGAACAGAAATTGCTTGATTAATATTGTATGGCATGCCACATATTGTATATTTTGAAAGTCTGTTTAAAATTGGCCCGCTGGCTACGATGGCCCCTGGATTGCCAGCCATGCGTGGACATTAGTGCATGTGAGTCCCTGTGTGTGTGTCCCACTTGCTATTTAATCACCACTGCTCTGCACTGGGCTCATACAGCGGTTACAGCCAGTTACCACTGATAACGTTGATGGCATCATCAAGAAAGTATAACTCCCACCTTTCATTTCCTCCGGTCAACACTGTTAGCTCTGCTAGCGCTGTTTATATTACATTGCATTACATTTAGCTTGGAAGTCGGCGGTCAAAGCTGGTAATGACATCGTGGTAGAGCTGACCGTGTTCCAGTACCACAAAGTGAGAGAAAAACAGATGTTGTTAGCAATACCAGTTCTTGCCAGGTTAGCCATTGTTGATAGCAATTCATTATACTGTGTTTCTGTGCATACAAACATCGTAGCAACATTTCTACAGATAGAAGTTGGACGTGACTGTGTGTATGACTGTTTTAAAGTTTTTCTCAATTGTTTACACACATTTTCTGAAAGCATGCCTCATACTCTCAGAACTCTACACACAAATCAAAAAACACACACAATGGGCAAAACCCCTCAATTCTCCTGCAAAATGAAACTTTACATTCAAAACAATGTTATTTCTTCTCAAAATGGTATTTTGTTTTCAAATGACACACACAAACCATCATATGAATAGACATTTATAAGAACCAGTTGAACACTGATGTGCTCAATGTAAAACATTATGATGAATGGAAAACACTTCTTCTCCATTCATCATAATGACTTCGGCCTTTTTTTTGTTCAGTGTTACACTACAGACAGTACATACATAAGTGTGTTGTAAAATATTTTAGAATATTGTTTTTATACTCAGAACACACAAATACACGGTAACAAATATATTTTATTTTTCCAACAAAAACAATGTACACAGTGTACATTCCAACCAACATAAAGTTGCACATACAGTGGTCTACATACAAAACAACAGAAGAATTTACTGTATACAGTTACAGTAAAAAAACAAAACAAAACTATGCTGCATCCTCTCTTCTGTTTCGGTCTGGACACAGCACCTCATCCACATCACTAGCAATGTTTTCCCTGGCCAAGCAGCGGGGGAAATATCGCCTAGCATGGCAAATCCAGCCATGAATAGCATCAACTGCTATATCTCCACATGCGTCTACCATAGCTTGGAGAAGGGATATACACGTTTGTGGATTTCAGTCATACACTTTCCATCTCCAGGCAGAAAAAGTGGCTCGGATCTCATCAGAGATTACGGTCCTTGGCCTTCCTCGTCCTCGTCCTCCCCGTCCTCCTCCTCTTACTCTCACTCCTCTGGCTCTGGCTCTGCCTCTGTTTCCAATGTTGGCATCCATTGCTCCAAAACAGAAAAGCTCACCTGTTGCCCTTTTATGCTAAAGCTCTGATTGCTAATTGTAAAACTGTGTGACAGGTGTTTGCCCATGTGATGAGTCAGTGTGCATAGTAGGGCAATTAACTTTAGAATTTTGAATGACAGTGTGTTCTTTGTGAAAACAAGAGATTTTCTTCATGAAAATTGTGCCAAATGCAGAGAATTGTGTGTAGTGTTTTGAAAAAAATGTGTTTTAGAACTGCAATTTGAGTGTAAAGCAGGAATTGTGCTTGTAGTTTAGCAGAATTGGTTCAGGGGGTTGGTGCATGAGTTACATGTTGTGGTCATTGTGTCTCAAGTACCAGTATTTGTGTGTAAACAATTGAGAAAAACTGTAATGAAACAAATCAGACAGAGGTGCTAACAAACATTACAATGCTTTTACATTGCAAGCAGCCATCTTGGATTTAGAGATCAGGGTTCAGAGGTTCCTCTGACGGTCCAAGTCGGAAGTCCAACTTCAGTGGGTGATCCAGTTGAAATTTCTGATTCGAAACTCATGAATTCCAACTTTCTAGTGCAAATGGAGCACACCATTAGCACTGTTAGCTGTTAGCCGCCTGCTCAGCCACCTCCATGTTGAGAGCTGTGTACAGACAATCAAGGCTCAGACTGATTCATAGATATGATCTGCATGTTGTTTACAACTCCTCGAACTTCTCTCTCATCTTGATTGTAACATTGATGTTTAATGATCATCTTTAACGTTGGAAACAGTCGCTAACTAATCACCTCATCACCTGATACAGATTATGATCATTTTATAGTCTTTATGTGACTGAAAGCTCCAGAACAGCGACTGAATGGACATTGAGGTGAGATTGTTTTGTCAATAATCATCACTTGATCCATATTTTCACACGCAGGCCTGACTTTGCTTTAGTGCTGACAGCTATGAGGCAATATAAGGGCCTTTTCTTTACCTTCTGACCATGTTTTACCCATCAGATTGTTTTATATTGCAGGTAAAGAGGAAAAGCCTGTACTGTGTGACATCATACATCAAGGTAAAGCTCTTAAATCAGAGACGAAGCTCCCACGTTTCTGAGAAATGTAGCTCATCCATCATCAGCTGTCCCCGGTAGCTCGGAGACAATTTACAAGGTCTGCATACAGAATGGAAAAAATACTGCGGTTTCCATGGTAATACCTCCGTGGAAATACCTGCAATATTTTGTCCATATATGTACTGTAGGAGGGACGGTCTTCATATGATTATAAATGCTTTCCTCCTGGACAAGTGTGAGAAGAAAAAACACATGAAGTGGTTGTGTTTGCATTTGCCTTTATGTAGAAGTATTTCATGAATATACAATATGAATTTTAATTTAACGTACTCTATGTCTGGGAATGTGCTACTACTTTAGATACAGTACAGTGACATGAAGCTTTCACAGCTGTGTCTTTATCCCTGCAAATGTTAGTTACTCAACAGACTCAAGTTTCCAACATCACTGGAGAGCTATGTACATACATTCTGTCTGAGGACTGGATTTATGACGGAAGAATGCAGGTAAAGATATGGTGTCTGGTATCCGTCCCTTTTCTTCTCATCTTTTCTGCCTCCTGTCTCACTTTGACAGTTTAGTGATGACCCGGATTAAAGCTCCATTCTCGTCCTTCAGTCTCTGGTTCTCCATCTTCAGCTCTGCTTTGACCTGAAGGAAGAGCATGAGACAAGTGAGGCAAGCACAGATGAAAAATTACATGTTGCTCATAACATGGAGAGCTTATTGTGCTGGGTGGAATACGTCTTATTGAAATGGTGAATGTCAGAGATCAAAACATTAGACTACAGGTCTCATTTGCTGTATGTTCATTTTTGCCATGTGAAAACTGTACAGCTCATGTTGTGGAGTGGTACTTATCATTTTGAAGTGAATTGATATTTAAATAGTAGTGCCATGCAAAGTTCTGGGTTTGATTTTTTGCAGTTCCTGCAACATTTTCAGCCTCCATTATATCAAAATGGAGTTTAATTTAATTTAATTTAGTTTATTTGATAGGGACAATGCAGGTTAACATAGTAACACTTCCACTCGTTACAAACAAGGCAGGAGTTAATCAGGTAAGGGCCAAACAAAAATTGCATTCTACTCTTCAGTCAGAAAATTCAAGTAGGTAGATTTTTCAAAGTTACTGGTTTTTTTTTGGTTTATTTGTTTTGCTAAGATGTGTTGGAGGGATTGCAATTAGAAGATGGGATTTGGCACTAAAAAAGACAGTAACTAAGGAAGATACCCAGTATTTTACTGCTGGAAAGATGGTCTTGTCATATAACTGGGCTGTCTATGCAATGTAAAGATGCAAATACTTTTAAACTGGTGCTACATGACAAGAGAAAACAGAGAAAAGGGGCAGTGGCATTTGATTTTGCTCCAGAAATAGAAAAACCTACAGCTACCAGAATGCTCTGCATCGCACCTGACCAATAATCACTCCCGCTTGTGGGTGATGTAATGTGAGCTTGGCCGTTTTTCCAAAGGAAACAATATGGTGAGCGGCTGGTAACAAGCAATTGTGAATTACAGTTAAACGGTAAGCTAAAATATGTTTATAAAAACATTTTAGGTGAGGAACAAGCAATGCAGTAACAGAATCTTGGCTCATATTTGATCAGTGCTGTTTAGATTTACCCTTTGATCTTAATTTTTTTTTTCAGCCTTCGTTTTTATTGTGCAGGAAACAGTATGGTTCCTGCTTCTTGTTCAGAAATTCTTGTATTACAGCCAAACAGTGCACCAAAATATGTTTCTATTTTTGCGCCACCTAGACACACTAAAATGGCCACTGCCATCTTGCATTTGTAACGTCATTTGGAGCCAGAGACTGCGCAGTAGCAATCTCAACCAGTATTGAGTTCCCGCCCATACACCTGTCCAACCATTCGTGAGCAGCGCCAAGATTCAGTTCCCCTATTTAACATGAAATTACTAGTTATAACCAGACTTACCAGAAAAACTAACTATTAAACAAACATCAGCATGATAAGAACTACATAAAGTGACAGAAACCATCTTTGGGAAAAATTTTATTTGACGTTTACTTTGATTTGATAGTTTGGCCCATGTCCCATCTGCTAACATGGAGAGGGCGGGGCTTATGACCTACACTGCAGCCAGCCACCAGAGGGCAATTAAGACATTTTGGCTTCACTTTTGGGGAGCTGTCATGTCGTCCATCATTATATACAGTGTATGATCTAGGTGCTGAAAGATGGAGGGAAATTTACCACAGTTCATTTGCACATTGTTATGAAACAAAGCCAGTTGAAAATCGGCAGCGTATCCTTTTAATTCATTACTGGATATTTGGAGAGCATAAGCAAAATATTTGATGGACAAGTTTACTCATTCAAACAGCTTTTAGATTTTGAGGCCTTGTCCAAAATCACTTCACACTGAGTCACTGTTACTATAGGGGCTCTGCAGTAGGAAGCTGAGGGCTGTGGTCCAATGTGAACTTTAACACAGGTTCAATTGTGAAGTCTGTTTTACATTTCTCACTTCTGTTCCTGCTGCTGACCAATCCAGAAATGAAACTCCCCCAGTAATAATAATCTGATCTGGATAAATCTGAGCTTTATTACTGTACAGTGAAACACATACAGTCACAAAGGCACATGACCTTTTACACTTGCATTCAGTGACACACAATCGGACCAGACTTCCTCATTTAAATACTCACAATAACAGTGTTCCTCTGTTGTGAATATCTATTTTCACACCAGCGTCTCGTGTTTGTTTAAACCAAAACAAGAGGGTTTTTGTTTGTATCCTCTTGGGTACAACACAGCAGACATTTGTGAACGTTAGACTATAGATGAATACTGATGGCTCGCTCGCTGCAGTGTCAGAGTGCTCGCACACATTCCACAGCCGGCGGAGCATAATGGTGACAAATGATGTCAGCTAAACCCACCGTAGATGGAGCCGCTAACACCACAGCTCCAACTCCCAGAGACACTTTACTGTGTTTGGGTTTGATTGTTCATTGTTTGCCTCGTGTCAGATAAGCTTAACTTTCTCCTGGTGAGAGATCCTGCTGCATTGTGAACTCCTAATATTTTTAAAGGGGATTAAATATGAAAAAAATAAGCTGATATTACTAATTTATAGAATATCTGAATTACCTTCAGCTGTTCTTCCATGTCTGATATCCTGTTTTTCAGACTCCAACTTTCCTACGAAGAAGAACATTAAATACAAATAATTAAAATATTAAATCAAGATAAACAGTCTGGATAAAGACATGTATTTAAGTAATAGTATAATGTTAAGTTTTACCTTTTTTTCCGTCTCAAGCATGTTGGAGCCACAATCTCCTGCCCTCCCCTTCTGCATTAATGAAAGGTTATTACAAAAAAAGATTAGAGTACAAAGCTTTGAAACTGTACGATTATAGCTGCGACATTTTCATAAAAAGGAGCCCAAGTGTCTGATGTAAAATATCCAATATACCCACAGCAACTCTAAAGCGGCTCACCGTTATTATCCCAAAATTCAAAACCTGCACTCTGACAGTAATTACATTGCCGTTTCCTTGTATAACTGCCATCTTTCATGTCACACTTCCCTCACATTATTTCCCGGTATCATCACAAGCGTATATGGGAGACATTTCTGTACTGACAGGAGACACGTGGACATGAAAATTATGGCTTGCAGAAACTTTTAGGTACTTTTTCAGCTGCCTCTTCAGTGACCGTTTCCTTCAGTTCTTTCACACTCATGAATCTGCATCAGCCTCATTAACTGTGTGTGTACAGTACCTGCGCTCTCTGCAGCTGGTCCTGAATCATGGCCAGTTCCTGTTTACTTGTCTCCAGCCTGGACTTGAGCCTTTGATTGGTGGCCAGGGCCTTTTCATACATCTACAAATTAAAAAATGCACTCGTTAGGATTTTCAGAGGAGTCTGATTGCTTTCACAGCACACAGACTGTTGAACACTGACATCAACAGCCACAGGGACAGTTTGTGTGGTAGTTTTAACTGTTTAGTCTGCAGCTAATGATTAGTTTCATGATTTCATATTTTATCATTTAAATCCTGCACACACCTTTGTTTTCTGTAGTTTACACTCCAAGGTACAGTGTGTAGGTGTGGTGGAGTCTAGAGGCTGGGTTTGCAGATTGCAACCAATGGAAACTTCACCTGTGTGCCAAGTGTAAAGGAGAGCTATGGAAGCTGATGCAAAAATGCAAATGGCCCTATCTATGGCCAGTGTTTGATTTGTCTGTTTCAGGCTACTGTAGAAACAACATGGCAGACTCTGTGGAGAAGGACCCACTTTGTATGCAGATATAAAGAGCTCACTCTGTGGCAACAAAAACACAACAGTTTGTCTTTGTAGGTGATTAGAAACTAACAAAAACATAGTTATGAATATTAAATATCATATCTGCCAATAGATGCCCGTAAATCCTACACACTGGACCCTCCTCATTGAGTATGTCAACCTTTTGACCTCATGTACATGCACATACATTAGCAAACAGATAAATGAGGGATTTCTAGTTAAGAGATTTTTATAAGTTTGAGTTTCTTTCTTTAGACTGTATATGTTTGTTGGTGCTTTTGTTTTTGGTTAATTGCAAAAATATTCATACTGACAGAATGATTGTCCTGCTTTATTTTATTTGTAGTTGTTTTATTTTAAATTTGGTACAGATCATGAATTCTAATGACTGGTTTTTCCCTGACGAGCCTGATCTCACTCCAAAGTCGTCGAAATCCGGCGCTAGGGCAGTGACGGGGGCATCAGAAACCAACGACAAAAGCCGTCCTTTCACGTTGGCATGATATGCAGCCGGTTGCCATTATAGTCTAACTGCGCCTGGCAGCATCAGGGGGGAAATATAGCAGGACAAGGATGATAGTTAAGGTGGGGAAAGTCCAACTTGGGCAGGCAGGAGGGGTGGTGGATGGGTCCAACAAATACCAACTTTCACCCAAGAGAGCCGTGTTTGTGTCCCGTAAGATTTTAAAGCCAAACCCTGCTCTTTTTTTCCTGGACCTAACCATGCGTGTTTATTGTTGAAGGCAAAAAAACCTCGTCAATTCGTGGAGTTCCACTGACATAGTGCATTTATTTTGAAAGAGACTATATGTACACAGTAATTTCCTGTGAAAACGGAAGTGTATTTTGAAAGAGGACAATGCATGAAACAGGAAGAACTTGACACGGCATCCCAGAACGTCAACAACTAACGCACCCAGGGTACCTTTCATGTCATATCTGGACGTGGAAAGTCCATGAATAAAGGTCAGTAAGTGACGAGGTTGGAGTGATACTGTGTTGCCCTGACATTTTATTGATCTCTACAAAAGGGTCAAGGGTCAGAGGTTTACATTTGCACAATTTATCAACAGCTATTACCTTGATTGGCATGAAAATTTGCTGTCATCCCTCAGGAGGAATTGCAAACACTTTGGTGATCCCTTGACAAATGTTTGCAGAACTAATGACATTCTCATCAGTCCTAGCTGTCTGCATCTTTGTTTGGTGCATATTGGCTAATGTTAGTGTGCTTACCACTAAACTAAGATGTTAAGCAGAGTAAATATGACATGTGCTAGATATCAATATGTTATCATGTGGGCATGTTAGCATGCTAATGTTAGCATTAAGCTCAAAGCACTGCAGAGCTGTTAGCATGACTGTAGACTCTTGGTCTTGTTTAAATTTATAAATGCAATATTTAGTCTATAAAATTGTGAAAAACAACCTTCATAGTTTCCAAGAATCCAAAATGATGCATTCAAATAGATTTTTTGTGCCAACCAATGGTCGTAAAACCCAAAGATTTTGAATTTAAAGTGATATAAAACAGAACATATATCAGAAAATGAGAATTTTTCAAGACTTTGTGCTTCATAAATGACTTTAACAGATTATCACATATCAAAATTGAGGCTAATTTATTTTCTGTAGACCAGCTGATTAACTGACTTGTCGTTTCTGTTGTGCTGTTTACGCAACATTTTGTTGTGTACTTTTATTTTGAAATTTCTGTGTTGGTTTTGGAACAGCATCCTCTAGGGGCTGGATATATGTGTGCCTAATTCTCATTGGATAATTGACAGAGGCTCAGCCATCTTGTTGTATGTATACAGGAAGTGCTTTTATTCACTCTGTAAAGGAGCCTGAAGAAGGCCATGTGCTCAAATGCAGTCTGTGTAGGTGAGTTCATTAACTGTCAAGTGATCACGTGAAGCTCCTTTATTGTTTAAGCACAGTCACTCAAAACATCACCAACATGCAAACTGCATCACCTGCCTTTTTATAGTCATTGTTTGCCGACTCTTCTTCTAACTTTTTCCTCGCAGACAGTCGGTTCTCCCGTCGTAAGAAGTAAGACTCAGCGTGGTTTGTGGATGTGTCGTTGGAGACGTCAGAAGATCCAGAAGAGCTTAGTCTAACAACATGAAACAGGTATTAACAATCCAACACTGAGGTTGAGCTCAGATAGTGTCAGAGTTTCATATCAATGAGAACTTTCTCTCAGGTGATAACTGATTTTGTTTCGTATGCATTAAAGGTGTGAATTAGATTTGCTTACCTGGACAGTCTTTCGTGCTGAAATAGAGGAGAAATGTTTTAGAACTGGCTATCTGACCAACATGAAAAATGCAGCAACCACACCAATGTTTTTTTCGAAAGGACATTTCAACGTTTTAGTTATACTTAATCCCAATTTAAACTTTACATTGGCATAAACAAGTCATTCAACCTCATCATGACTGGTCCTCTGTTTCAGTAAATGCTCATTACTGCACAAATAATGACATTACACAGCTTGACTCCATCGTGTAGTTTGACAGGCTGTTTGGTTGTAATGTGAGATTTATGAAGTACTATATGGAATCAAACCCACAGACGAGGTTGTATTTTGTACCATGTTGACCATTCCCTCTGCATTATGTTGTAAACACGCAGTTACCGTGCACACAGGACATGTTTTATGACAGCACAATGTTAATTACGAGTAGATCTCCGCACAGGAAGAACTCAGAGATTCTTTGAAGTGACACTACCAGGAATTCCTTATGCAAGACCTTTTTTTTTTCTTTTTTCCAAATTTCCAAGTAAAGGTTTGCGGCAGTCTGAAATGCCGAGTAGAAGGAGAGAGGAAGTGAACCCTTAAATAAACTGACAAGCAGAGATACTAACTAAACACATCCAAAAAAGGTAATAGTTCTGGCAGAGGCTTTCACAATGTGTTCATTATTGCCTGCTGAAGTTGGAAGGGTTTCCTTGGTGAGAGATTTTTTGAGCAGAAGAGAAGAATTAAAAACTCACACTACCTTAAAAAGATGAGGAACATAGCTGAATACAACACTGCTGTATTGACGATGAGGGACAAATGTTTGATTCTTACATTATCAGCTGGAGTATTGTGAACCCCGATGTGAAATACAGATACTGATAGGTGACAAATTAAAGGAACACGGGGTGTCTCTGTAAGGTGTTGAGCCACCGCGAGCTGCCAGAACAGCCTCACTGCTTCCTGGCATATATCAAACACTTTTCCTCCGAAACATATTCCCTTATTTAGTGCTTTTGAGGGTGATGGCAGAGAGTGCTGTCTAACACACTGGCTCAGAATCTCCCAAAGGTGTTCAATTTGGTTGTTGTCTGGAGACTGTGAAGGCCAAAGTAAATGATTACGTACAGAATTTTCACACTTGCGAATGCCCTGAATGAAGCATCTGTCGGGTTTCTTCAACCAGTTATTCAGATTTTTGCTTTTAAACTACAGTTGGTAATGTTTATAAGATATAACTTTGTGTTATATTCGCTGAAACTGTCACTACATCCACACAGTAGTATACGTGACAGATAGTCTGTGAAATAGTCCTAGTGCTCATCATGGCATCTACAAGAATCCAGGAAACAACCAATCTGAGCAGAGGAGTCTCTAATGCAGCTGTCAGTCATGTCAATCACTGCCAAACTGTCAAACTAGGCAGCGCTGATCAAATGTGAATCAAGATTCTGTCACTGCATTGTCTATTTCTCACCTGAAGTGTTCTCAGAAACATATTTTAGTGCACTGTTTAGCTGTTAGGTGAGAATGTTTGTGAAACCTGCTCAGTGGTGTAAGGTAGTTACGATGGGCCCTGGTGCACGCTTTCATGCACATATCGTCTCGTCACATGAGCAGAGACTTGACATAAGATAACATCAACATACATATTACCCATCAATCATCACTGCGTATCTGTGTATAACAAAAAACCCAAAGAAAACAATTTAATAATGAATCAGTTAATTTAACTTTAATTATTGATTCATAGTTACAGAAATATGTATTTATAAAATAGCTGATTTATACTTATAGAATAAGCATATCATTTTCTTACAGATGCTGTTGACATTTTACAGAAAAATAAAAAATAAACGTGACAGAGATGGCTTTGCCGTTTTCAAGGGCATATATAGCAAATGGCACTGTTTTTAATTTAATGAGCGCTCTCCTTTGAACACAGGCATCTTTTAAAGGTGGCAGTCACTCATAAAGTCCCATTCTTCCCACTCTCTCTATGGACTCTCTGTGTATTTTTTTAATTTATAATAATTTTATTATATTATTTATAATTAAATCAGTCATTCATTATTTCATTGTCACTGAGCCCGTTTATATGCACACAATAATCAGATAACTGGGAATAATCAGGTAATGGTAATAATCTGATCTGACGCGTTTACATGCACTTCAATAATGCGATAATCAGAAAACCCTGGTTTACATGATTCAGTCCATTAGTCGGATTTCTGTCCAAGTACATGATGTAAAACTCAAATTTCCTGTTACAGTAGGTGGCGGTAATGCACCTTAACGCTGGTTGCCACTCGCCATAATACCGAAAAGAAGAACAAGAAGAAGAAACTTCCTGTTAGTTTCAAAACATCCTGTCTTCTTCACCACGGCAACGCTACACAAAGAAGAATAAGAATATGGAGGTGACGCTAACGGTCAGGGCTGTCCTTATGTGGGAGCTGTTAAGCCTGCAAAATAGGCTACACACTGCTGCTGTCCTTCGCTTATTCTCCATGAGGAGAAAACTACGATGGGCTTTCATTCAGCAAGCATCTGCCCTTGGTCTCAGCATGATGGGTCCTCCACTCCTACCAAAACACCGTGCTTGCTGGATGCGCATCCAGAGCAATGACTGGTGGGAGAGAGTGGTCCTCAAGGAATTCTCAGATCCAGCATGGAGAGAGAATTTCAGGATGTCTCGGAGAGCATTTGTGAAACTGTGTGATCTGATGAAGGATGTCATGAGCCCCGATGAGATGACAGTACGTCCCCCTGTACCTCTGGAAATGCAAGTGGCATATTTTCTACGACTTTTCACACATGTGCAGATGTAAAAGAACGAAAGATACCAGATTAATGGTATACATGCACCGCATAAAACGGACTATTGGGGAAAAAGCTAGGTGTGTTTATCCGATTTCTCATAATCCGATAATGGCTTTTATCTGATAAAGCACATCGGATTATGCTGTTTACATGACTACTTGAATAATCAGATAATGATCGGTTTATTGTGTGCATATAAACGGGCTCACTAATTGCTTATCCTGTTGGGGGTCGCGGGAGAGGCAGGGTACATCCTGGACAGGTAGCCAGACTATAACCATAGCCATTCACACCTACGGGCAATTTAGAGTCACCAGTTTACCTAACATGCATGTCTTTGGACTGTGGGAGGAAGTCTGAGAACTCGGACAAAAACCTGGACATGCAAACTCACAGAAACGCACAAATGTACAAACCAGGAGCCCTCTTGCTGTGAGGCAACAATGCTAGTTTATGATTTATTTATAATTTGGTTTTAATTTTCTAAGGAGTGCTGAGGCTATAGGGTTTATTTGATCCTGGTCTGGATCTAGTGAAGGTCTGCTGGTTGGTCCACAACTCTTTTCTAGACTGGAGTAGCTGTTGGATGGATTGCCATAAAATATTGTTTAGACATCCATTGATTCATGAATTATTCTTGTGCCGCCATGAGTAAACCTGTCACATTTGTGGTTTTGAGCAGTTTTACACTCAGTTACACTGTGGCTTTTTGAGGCCTATCAAGACATTTCAGCTCTTACAGAGAATACTTAGCCTGCTGGAGCAACAAAGAAACTGAAAAGTTATTCACAGCTGCAGTGTTTTCTCTAACCGCTCTCTGTGGTTTGTCATCTGGGGCCGAAGTTGATGCTCACACACAAGACTTACCTCCTTCACTTTACACAGTGGTTGGGAAGTAAGACACTTTATTCAGCTCCTAATGACTTTGGTTATCGGATTCTGATGCATGACTTTTTAAATCAAGCACCATCAGCAGGTCAAAATGTCACTTTGTCCAATACTTTGAACCTGCAAACATCAGCTCAGCTGTACCTTGTGCTCATTACCTAATTAGCATCAGAATGTTGGCTAGGTCATTGTGAGCGTGTTAGCATGTTGATGTTAGAAATTACATCAGCTGTGCCAAAGACGAGCCTCACAGAGCTGTTGGCACTACTGTAGACTCTTTCCACAGCACTTTCCAACAACAAGAGCTTTACCTAAAGGACAAAATGGCATTAAGATATAAAACCGTACATAGACAGATATCACAGTGCTGCCATGTTTACTCTCTGAACCTGCTGAACCCATCCTCTCCATCTTTAAACGCCCTTTCGACGTATTAATCACAGGGAAAGCTAATATGACTCGCTCTTTCAGTTTTTATTACACTCACTAATGCTAACAATCAATATGTATTAACTTCGAAGAGGTGATTATCTTTCCTGTAGCAGTTACACCAGCATTTATCAGGGTAATGATGCGCTGAATTACTTTTTGCTGCTGACTTAACTTTCAAGATGAGCACACGCAGTTTTGATTTTACATTGTGCTGTATTGTTTCGGACACAGAGACTCATTGTGACACGCACATAAAGTAAAGCAAAAAACAGACTGACACATCAAAAAAAGTGGATTCCTATAAAGAAGAAACAGGGCTTTAAGTTACAGACAGTGTGTGTAAACACAGTGATATGCCTCCGCTCAGACATTTACAAGATCTCTGGATCCTCCCCAGACCCTGATGTCAGCTCCTTTAATGCTCTCTCTGGACACTCAGATATGCTCGGTAAACGGTCATTAATGATATACAGTACGCAGACTTGGAAAAAGCTCTGGTTTGGATTAAGCGACAGCACATATAAACAGATGCTGATGGAAACATCGGCTTTTGTGTCCCATGTATGTGAGCGACTCTGTCACTGAGCTGACCTCCGTCCCCTTTCTAGACCCCTCGAGGAACTCTTTGCCTGCTGACCAGCTATTCCCAAGTGGAAAATGTGAGCTTCCCGTAGGACTAGCAGAGAGATAAACATCCATAAATACTGCGTCTGAGTTCCCACAAGCCAGTCCTTTGCACTCTACCCCCCCGCTTCTCTCTGTTCCCTGTCATCCTGTCTTTCACCCCCTTCTTTCCCTCTCTTTCTTCCTGTGTCCCTCTCTGTGTCTCTCCATTAATCTCTCCCAAGTGGATTCTTAGTTTACATAAACAGATAAGACTAACTGCTCGTTACAACTTTTCTTCGGTTTCACTTACAAGTTTTGTTCCTCCATGCTCCATGCTCATACACGTCAACATGCGAGTTAGTTTCACAGTTTATGCGAGTTATTACAGACCATTAGGAGCATGTCAGAGTTAAAAGAGATAATAAATTATTATTTGCGGTGGTGTAGGGGCCCAAGATACATACCATGTAACCACAAAGTCCCTGGTACACTAAACAGCAAATACCCTCCCAAAAAATAATTTAAAGGTCCAGTGTGTAGGATTTAGGGGGATCTATTGGCAGGAATGAAATATGGTATAATAGCTGTTTTTTTTAAAGATTATTTTAGGCTTTTTTTGGCAGCTAGAGAGAAGAAGAGGGGAGAGAGCGGGGATGACACAGCAAAGGGACGCAGGTTGGAGTAGAGCCCAGGCCGTTGCAAAGGACTCAGCCAACATGGGGTGGACGGTCTACTCACTGAGCTAGAGGCTGCCCCATACCTATGTTTTTTTTTTTACTCTTTCGCTGGCAGTAGCCACGGCCGGAGGTGCTGTGTTTTCGGGTTGTCTCTTCATCCATCCCTCCCATTCTCGTAAATGCGATATCACAAGAATGCCTGGATGGAATTTCTTCAAATTTGACATAGACAGTGTGAAGTGGAAAAAGTTAGAAAAAATCTTTAGTTGCATTCCAACAGCTATCGTGTAAACAGTGTTCTCCAAAAAAGGACCCATTTGAAGCGAGGCAGTAAGAGGTCATTTATAGCTACATACAAGTTTCCATTGATCATGTAGGCTGCTGAGGTAAAGCGCAGAAACACACAGGAATACCTCTGTGGCTCGTTACAGACACATTTGTTTGACAATGACTGAACTTTGATGTTAGTGTTTGCTTTATGTCAGCCGTGGCATTTCCTCGAACTAAACAGACACTGAGACGATTAAAGACAATTGGGCCTCTTACCCTCAGGCTCTTGGTGGTGGCAGCAGATGAAGTTGGAGAGGAGTCAGAGAGCAACTTTCTGATGCGCGGCTGATCCTTGTTGTGAGAAAGTAGAGATGACATCGCTCCCGAGCTGCTGGCCTCCGCATGCAGCTGTACTGTGGTCCAAAAGTTCTTCCAAAAAGTTTTTCTTTTTTTTTTTTTTAAATATAAACAAAAAACAAATTAAACAAAAAAAAGCAGCAGAGAAGATGCACAGGGATCTGTTTATAGTCCGCTGATATTAAATTCTGTGGCTGTTTCCTAAGTTAAACAGACCAAGTGCGATCTTCATGTGATGGTGAGACATTGAATATCTGATGAGAGTGAAAGAACTGCACAAATGTGAGAGCTGTGGAGGAAGTGGTGGGACTGGGGAGTAGGCGGGCTGTAGTGTGTATGTGTGGACACAAGGATCTGACAGCAGTATTGTTCACAAGGGCTCTCAAGGGACTCAGGGTCATTCTGCCAAAAATGGAAGAAGTGTTTCAGGATCGTTTCTGGAGATGCAAATGTGAAAACTGTTTACAGTGTGTGTTCTTTCATAATGTTTTATCTAATATTTAATTTCAGTACAGTAGGACAGGGAAGTGCACTTATAATTTTAGGTGCACTTCCCTTTGCATTAAAAATAAGTGTGATCTATTTTACATTTGGGTTTTTTCGGACAAAGGGGAAACAACCAGCTGTGGATGAGGAACTCTGATATTTTACTCAAGTAAAAGTTTTGCTACCTACTCACTTAAAAGTCCTGAATTAATTAAAAGTACATTCGTACTGGCTTTCAAATGTACTTTAAAAAGCAGTAAAAGCACTCATCCTTTGAGAATCATGTGTATTATTAGATTATAAATTGTGATGCATTAAGATAGGAGTGTCAAACATACGGCCTGTGGGCCAGAACTGGCTCGCTTAAGGGTCCAATCTGGCCCACTGGATGACTTTGCACACCTCATATCGATACACTCGTGAGGGCTAATGCAGCATTCACATGGAATCAGGCAGACGGGAGACATCTGCTGGATGGAACGGAAGAAATAAACAAGCGGTCTGACAGAATGGCACAACAGCTAAATGAGACACGTGACTCGTGACACGTGATTGTTGCTATAGCGATGTTTTTGGGCTACAGAGAGCTAACGTTAGCCAGATAGCTCGCTAAGCTAATAAAGCAATTCATAATGTTACGTTTCATATTACGTACCCGGTGTTCCACCCAGCTCTGCGCTAATCGCATCTCATATGTACGCCTTCTTGGAGGCATCACGGTAGGCTTTTAAAGTTTGGTCATATAATTCTGGGTGCTGCTGCACCAAAAGCACTAGCTTTTTGTTGTCGAGTTCAGCCATGTTTTCTTTACTGTTTTGGAACTACGCCACATCCGGTTGAGTATTCTGTGGCTGGTGAACGGTAAAAGTTAAAATATTGCCGTTGATGAATGTTGCCGTGGACGGTATTCTCTGCCGGCCTCGCCCAAGTTTTACTGTCCTTCTCTCGTCCACTAACATGACATTTGGTTTGCCGTCTGCCGTTTGCCTGATTCCATGTGAATGCAGCATAAGAGATGCCAGGCTTTAGGAGCAAGTTAAACCGTGAGTAGACTACTTGATGTAAAATGCTGCTTCAGAGGTTTTTCCACCCTGTCCTGAAAACAGTTCTGAAAACAGAAAGCAAGAAATACTTATGTTCACATTTAAAGACACTGTACATTGTGCAAAATGTTGTCAGTCAGCAGCTTCAGTACGAAAGAATCTTTATCAGACCTCTATCTTAAAACAGTGTTGGTGGAGCACTATTGCTAAGGTACTGTCAAAACTTTAGATGTGTAAATGGTGTGTAAGGGAGGAGATAACTTAACCTGCTTCCTTAATACCTTCCACTTTGGTTTGCTGTAGTGATGATAGCATCACTGGAGTGGAAATGTGTGGGAAAGTTGTCATAGACTAACTGACTGTGGAAAAGAGACATATTAATGATACTGTATTGCATTGATAATCAGAATGTACTTGTACGTCGTCACACTATAAGAAAGATGTAAATAAAAAAATGGAGGTGTTGTTATGTATAGGTTATTAAGCAATGGTTTTACTGGTCCGGCCCACTTGACATTAAATTGGGAAGCATGTGGCCCATGAGCCAAAATGGGTTTTGCATTAAGCATCACTTCAGTGTTGCAGCTGGTGAAGCTGGCTAATTTACTACTTTATATACTGCTGGGTAAATTAATCTGTAAGAATACATTATCATAGATTAGTTGATTATACTTTGTATTAATAATCTGAATCTGCAAAGTAACTAGTTGCTACTGTTGTCTAATGTTAGAACATTTCCCTCTGAGATGTAGTGAAGTAGATGTATAAAGTAGCATGAAATGGAAATACTCAAGTAAAGCAAACATAACTTAAAACTGTACTTAAAGATCCAGTGTGTGTGATTTAGAGAGATTTAGTGGCATCCAGTGGTTAGGACTGCAAATTGCAACCAGCTGAAACTTCTCCTGGTTAGAATTTGTTCAGTGTTGATTGCACAAGAAATTTTTACCCAGCCAACGTTAGTAGGTGGGGTCCTTGTGGGTAGTAAATAGGCTGGAAAATGGGCCCTATATGGGTTTGTCCACAGGTTCCATATTGGCCCTGTGATATTTACTCCACGTGGGTGGGATTGCCCAAGTGGGCCCGGATAAGATGCCAGTTTTGGACCCATACCCACTTTGTACCCAGGTAGCCCCAGCATGACCCATGTGGGACCCACTTGGGTAATCCCACCCATGTGGGTAATTGGCATGGCCAGACGTTCATCTGGGAGCCGAATTATCCACAGAGGTCTCTTCCTCTCCAAAACAGACAGACCAGGTGATTTAAAACACTCAAAACACAGAAAAAAGCAGTTTCACTTAAAGAAATTTATGTTTTTCTGGAGCTCTCGTAGAGGAGGGGGAAGCTCACATTGGTTTGTGTTAGTGAGGTAAGGGTATATATAAAACAACAGGTTGGTCAGAGACACAAATATACCGTGCTGAGGTTAAGACCTGTTGTGTTAATTTAATCAAGCTGGAGGCTGCATGTGTTGACAGTTAAGATGAGCTTACATACCTTTCTGAGAATGTGCCGTGACACAGTTGCATTCATTACGTTAGCACGGGTCATTTGTTTGCAATTTAGCCTCCTAAAAAGGGAATCTAAAGGGCTTTGTGTGTGTTAGTCATGAAGTTACTGCTAAATGGAATGTGACAAATTACACTGCCCAGAAAAAATAAGGGAACACTTAAATGACACATCAGATCTTGATGAAGGAATTATTTAAGATGAGAATCTTTACTGATGTACATTGTTTAATTTATTGAGAACAAGCTGACGTAACAACAGTCAGTGGAAACTAAACTCATCAACCCACTGAGGGCTGCAGTCAGGGTGCCGTTAGCTGTGACATGGAGGTCTCTGTGGCCCTCCAGGCATATGCCTCCCCAGACCATCAGTGACCCACCACCAAACCGGTCATGCTGGATGATGTTACAGGCAGCATATTGTTCACCACGGCGTCTCCAGACTCTTCACACCTGTCATGTGCTCAGTGAGAACCTGCTCTCATCTGTGAAGAGAACGGGGCGCCAGTAGCAGACCTGCTAATTCGGCTGTTAATTCGAGCTGCATGGTGCTGGGCTGTGAGCACAGGTCCCACTAGAGGATGTCGGGCACTCATGTCACCCTCATGGAGTCTGTTTCTGACAGTTTGGTCAGAGACATGCACACCAGTAGCCTGCTGGAGGTCATTTTGTAGGGCTCTGACAGTGCTCCTCCTGTTCCTCCTCTCATAAAGGAGCAGATACTGGTCCTGCTGCTGGGTTGATGCCCTTCTACGGCCCTGTCCAGCTCTCCTCTGGTAATGGTCAGTCTCCTGGTATCTCCTCCATGCTCTTGAGACCACCTTCTTGTGACTACACGTATAGATGTGCCATCCTGGAGGAGCTGGACTACCTGTGCACCCTAATTAGGCTGCAGGTACCACCTCATGCCACCAGTAGTGACAAGGACACTCGCAGAACACAAAACTAGAGAAGAATCAGCCAGGAAAGATAAGGAGAGAGCAACTGTCTGTGGCCACCACATGTAAAACCATTCAGTTTTGGGGGGTTGTCTTGCTTTTGCCTCTCCATTGCACCTGTTGTCACTTTCATTTGCCCCACAGCAGGTGAAACTGATACACAATCACTTGTGCTTTCTAAGTGGACAGATTGATTTCTGACCTGGTGTCATACTGTGACCATTAAACGTTCCCTTAATGTTTTGAGCAGTGTATTTCACAGCAAATGCACTGAAAAGTTTCACAGAGAATATTCTGTACAGGTTAAAGACTACGCAATAATAACACAATCTAAATGTTAGTGGTCTCAGGTGGTGATACACACCGCATTATTTCATGTCTCAGTTTCCAGTTTGCCTCTTATTAATTCCAGCCTGAGTCAGAGTTGGCTGTCAGAGCAAGTCTCACCCTGCACCTGCTGTAATCTAATCACAGAATTAAATAAGACAAATATGTAATATATTTCCATTTCTCATAGTGATACTGATGGCTGTTTTTTTATTGCATTGCTGGACAAACATGATTCATTTCTTACCCATATTTTAAGCTAAACACGTACTTGTGGAAATAAAATTTAAGGATGACGTCATGGTAAAAGAAAAAAAATGAACAGTGAGGGTCTGCCTTATGACACCTGGAAACATTCCTACATTAAACACATGTCTCCACGTGGCCATCATGCTCCCTTTTGTTGTTTTGAGAAATGAATGGAATCACTCCCCATTAAATTAATTGAAAAATAGAACTCACCATTAACAAATCGACTGGGGTGTTTATTCACACTGTCTTTAAAATGCAGCCTGAACATGTGGTTGCTGTTGTCTCTCAATCAGTGTCAGATCACACAGGATGTCACTGTGGGGTAACTGGTCTACACAACATGTCTACATGAGGCTAAAGTAGGAAGGCAGATGTTGCTATAAATAGAATTGCCTGTTTTAGATGTCTTAAAACCCGTATAAAAAAAATGAGGAACCACTCACAGATCCCCTCCTTTAGAGAAAAAAAACTTGTCTTGGTTCCTCTCACATTTGTTGATTATTCTTCATGATTATGGGAGTTATCAGGCACCACCTGCTGGCAGAAGATAATACTTTAACCTTTTCACAAAAGAGCTTCATGACAAGAGAACAGCATGTACCAGTGGAATCATATGTACCCCTGTGTGCACCATGTGCACTGGTACCATAAATAACTTCCTGGAGAGGCACTGCATGTGTTCTTGTGTTGAATTATAAGCTTAAAGTACA